CCCCAGTCCTTTCCATTAGCAATTCAATAGTAAAATCAGTATAGTACCTTACAGATTTGCAACTCATTCCTTCACAAAACTGCCAGTCCACCAGCCCTCCCAACTGGATCAACCACAAACAACCTGTCATACCTTAACTGTAGTCGTACTTTATTCATAACATCCTTCCTGTTTTTTGTTTCAGACAAGAATATCAACTCTGGGAGTGGAGTTTGACACTCTCCTTAAGCTGGGGAACTGTCAAGGGGCTCCCAACACCTCGACAGTTCCACACCAGAGCTCTCATTGGGCTTTGGGAGCCCCATTAAGGTAGGACTCCACCACCTCAGTAGATAATTCCATCCCTACTCCAGTATCATCTATCTTATATTTTTTTTTGCATTCATTCTCTTTGTCCCTTGCCCCACATAACTTCCTTTTGTCCCCCTCATTATCAACTTCCATTACCTCATTTTTGTTTCTCAGAATTGCTCGATTGCCCACCTCACGAACTAGATCCTTATTTCCCTTGTTCTTACCAGCTCTCCTCCCTAAGCAAGTGGTTTGATCCAGTTTTTTATCTGCAGGATCTGACCCCTTCCCCTTACTCTCACACACCTTGTTGTCTATAATTGATCCATCAATCCACATAGAGTCATCCAAACCTTTGTCATTCACAACCTCCCTCTGACACTCATTCTGTATCTTTCCTGTAATTCCTATGCTTGATTCTAGATTAACATTGCTGCTTCCCCCCAAATCATTCCCCCTCTTTTTACAAACAACATTCAGAGGAGTCTCCCTCTTAGCACCTTCCAAAAAAGTCCCTTGTTTCCTGTCCTGAACCTCCTCCTTCGCAATCTCCTGAACAGTTGTATCTACACTAACCTCTACCAACTTCCAAGGAAGTAGGAAATGGTCCTTTTCCTTTTCTCCCCACCCCCTGTTTAGAGATACATCCTCACCCCCGTCCCCTTCCTGAGTACATGGAACATCCTGTCTTTTGTTTGGATTTCTTGCAGTACTGGCCTTCAACCAAGCACCATACTGAGCTTCCTTACCACTATTAACAACCTTCAAACTGCAATTTCTCTCACTATGCCCCATTATCCCACATCAATAACAAAACTCAGGACATTTCTCATATCTAAATTCAATCCATCTCGCACTTCCCTCCCACTTCACTGTAGTACCCTCAGAAGAGGTCTTGACAAATCCATCTCCACCAGGATTTTTAAATGTTTCCCCTCCTTACCACCTCCATTTGGAATTATAACTTCCTTAACAGAGCTAAAGACCCCTCCAATCTTCCTCCCAATTTCCTTAGTAATCCAGTGGATAGGTAAATTCCATAACTGGATCCAAATCCAAGTCGTATTAAAGGCTTCATCCCTACGTTCTAATCCCTCTTCCCATGGTAGAACAACTAAAGGCAAATTATCATATATCCACGGTCTTCCCCGCATCACTCGCTCCATGTCCTGACTATTAATGAAGATAAACTGAAACAGATTTACCCCAATCTCTACTACTTTTAACTTCCTCGCAAAAGCCACATGTTATTCGCAAAACTCTTAATACCTGAAATATTTGCAAATTTCTCCCCTATCACTTTACCAATAATACTCAACTTACATTCAGCCACTCCATGAACCACATCCGATCCATCCAATTCAACACCGTCAACCTCAGCTTCAGTCAGAACAAATTTCCTCAACACTTCTTCCAGTTTCCTCAGTCATTTTGATCAAACCAAAGCTATTCCCAGTCCAACCACAGACACAAAGAAATTCAAACACCAGTAGCCTGTCCAAAAAAACAGAAACCAGAAAAACTATGACAGAAAAAAATTCAGGATCCAAGCTAAACCAATGAAAAGACAAAGCGAAGCAAAAACTAGAATATATGAACGGAAAATGGAAACACACACACAGATCTGTAACAGATGAAAGAGCCTGGGCTAAGATTGTAAAAAAAAACTCAGAGAAAGCAAAAAACCACTGCGACTGAAAAGAAAACAATAAGCACAAAACAGAGAGACGACGACAACTGAAAAAGAAGAAACAAAATTAGAACGAAAAAACGATCGAAGCTTAGCTCAAAACTTCTACCGCCAACGATCGGAGACTCCAAACGAGCAGGAAGATAACATCATCATGATACCGCATTATTACTCCATTGAATTCACCATCGAAGAATCAGGCAAAGGATCTGAAATTGTTTTGTTTTCTGCTTTTGGTTTTTTTTTTTTTTTTTTTGAAAGAAAGTACGGGAAATTTGAAATTTTTGAAAAAACCTAGTAACACCTACTAAAGGTGAAAAAGGCTCCCACTTTGAGAGAGAAAAAATAACCCACCTACAAGAGGGACTAATCACAGCATACTTACTCCATAGATTTTAATCAATTCTGGTTCACAATTGACTGACTAAAGTGCCTTTCCGGTCAAATAAACGTATGGTCAGGCGAGAGAAGGAAATTCTGCTCCCACCATTCTTGAAATTCTGTGTGCGCGCTATTGTATAATGAGGAATGGTTTCATAATTCACGCATTGATCAATCTGCTTTTCTAGCCCAATACTGGAAAAATTATATGCAGTTTATTGCTTAACGATTCACTTGACTGAATCAACTGAGCCAATTGCGAACCAGAATTAAAAGATTTAGATTCCACCTCATAATATTTTAAGTTAATTTTTATACCTCCTACGTTTCTCACGCCCTTTTCACGCCCCAAATGAAATACAAAGAAAAGTTATAAACTAACAATTTTTGAAGTTAATTTAATTTGGTCGACCGAGTCAGCTGAGACTATTCCAAACCCCAGCCTGGTACGGCACAAACATAATGGGAATTTCCTGGAGCCTGACTAGTGACTACTGTTTACAAAAAAAGTGTGGCCCTTAGTCTGTTGACTTGCAGTCAACTTTCCCCACTTGAAGACTGGATAGTTGACTAAACTACAGAGGTTCACTCGATCTTCTTCAAGACTTTTTCTACACACGTTAAAACCCTTTGTGAAGCTTCGATGAAATGATATTTCTCGATTGATTAATTGATTAACGCTTACAGTAACACATAAAAGTTGCAAAATATTTAACGCCACTAAATGTGATAAAACATGATGGTATATAATTACTTTCTTTATGCAATTCTTGAGTTTTGCTTCTATCGAACATATGCAGGTGCAACAATTGTCCTTTAAGAACATAACATTACAAATATGAGATGAATGGTAAATTCCAGATTATTTTTCTGATAAACTTTGGCCATAGGATAAGTTAAGTTAATTCTTGAAAAAAGCACCGCATAGTAATAGGTTGGCATATATAATTCTTCAACCCGTTGAGGTGGCGTTTGGATAGGAGTTTGTTTGGAACCAATTGTTTCATTTTTTGTGATGTGATATATGTGAGATAAAAGGGTGATTAGAAATATAAAAACAGATGTCTGAAAAATGCATTTATGATGTAAACAGAAAAAAAAATTTGCAAATTAAATCATTGGACAAATTCTACGAGCAAGTAGTAGATAGACTGCTCGAGATAGTAATTTGATGGCTAATTTGATCAAATGGGGAAAGGAGTTGATTCCAATTCACATAGTCGTCCTCAACAATCCGAAAGGATTAATTGTGCTTGTAATCAATTGAATTCATTTATAGAAGTAATTGATACCATTGGGAGCTCTAAATAAGTTAACTACCGCGTTTACTTAGATTGTGTTTGGATTGCATTTTCCGTCATTTTTCATGGAAAAATTACTATATTGATTTGATATATGTGAGGGAAAAGGTGAATAGGGAAATGTGATCACGGAAACGACAATATTTCCGACGGAAACAAGCAATCCAAGCATGGCCATTAGTCTGAATGTTAATATAGATTCGCATCATGTTGTATGGTAAGTGATAGTGCCACGGTTCAGCTATTAATTTCTAAGTAATTTTTGCAAAAATGATGAGATTACTTCTTTCAAGTTCAAATATAATATTGGTCTTGTTTTGGCAGACAAGTTTTTGGCCAAGTTTGTCTGTTACAAGTTTTTTAAAAACTTCTTAAAGTTTTTAAACTATACACTTCAAAATTTTCAAAAAAAAAAAACACATTTCAAAATTTTTTTTAAAACTTCTACTGTAAGTTACAGTAAGTTTTAGACAAATACCCAAAAAACTCACTTGCCAAACCGCCATTAATTTCAGGTGACGTTAACAACTCTTTTTTTTTTTGGCCCCAAAAAATTGCTGCCTCATAAAATTGGACCAACCTTGTTTGGAAAGTAATTTTTCTCCAAAAATTTTTATATTTTCTGTTGACATATTTTCAATCACATTTTTCATCACATATATATATATCAAATCGCTATAATATATTAGTTTACAAAAACTATAAAAAAATTACAATCCAAACGGGTTACCACTTACGAGCCATCTTATGCACGCTGCCAAACCGAGGTGTACTGCGGCGGACGAGTGGCTGAGATTTTTTTGAGTTCCCTTTGGTGCATTCCAGTGTCAATTCATACTTCATAGTGGAGTTGATTTAGGACGGACTCCGGAAATAAAGCAGCCAACTTGAGTCAACCCTCAAGGAAATAAAGCGATGTGGAATTTGATCAGAATTCAATTGAAATGGTTGTTTAATGCAAAATTTGGAATAACTTTCAGAAGTAAATGCTAAATGTATTCCAAACTGGCGTCTATACTCCTTGTTAGTTTGAATTTGAAAAAAAAAAAAAAAAAAAAAGCATAGATAGAGAAGTCCATTTTATACTCCAAACTGGCGTCTATGTGCTAACCAATCTACAGCTTTTGAATAAAATGGCCAATCTTTGCATCAACTAACTTCGCATTGACAAAAAAAAAAAAAAAACTTCGCATTGACTTGACGATGACAATCTATTTTCAGGAAATTAGTAACAGAGAATTGAAGTAGAAACCACATACTAATGACCGAAATTTACATGATAAAGGTCTAAGTGCCCTGCAATCAAGTGTTCATTTGCTCAAAATCAACCACAGCAATCCTTCCACAAACTATCATCATTCCTAACCTTAGAAGCAAAAGTTGGCAAGGTTGAAGAAGCCTCAATTTAGTAGTTTACTAGTTAAGGCAGAGGTCTTGGGAGTTAAGACCCAATTTATTAGCTGTTCCAAATTCGTTATGGAGAGCCTTTTCTACTGCTACCCTCTTGCACTTGTTCTGATGCAATGCTGTTTCATTATTGTCACTTCCACAGCCATGATAAGAACAGATGTTGCAACCGATCGATCTGCTCTTTTAGCCCTCAAAGCCCACATCACTTCAGATCCTCACCAATTCTTGTCAAAGAACTGGTCTTCAAATGCTGCTGCAGCTTCTTCTGTTTGTGACTGGATAGGAGTCGAGTGCGGCTCTCGGCACCTGAGAGTTACTGCTTTGAATATTTCAAACATGGGACTTGCAGGCACCGTTCCTCCAGAAGTGGGGAACCTCTCTTTTCTTGTTTCTCTTGACATGGGAAGTAACTACTTCCATGGAAATCTGCCCCAGGAGTTGTCACGCTTACGCCGCCTCAAGTTCATCAGTTTAAGCTCCAACAACTTCACTGGGGCCATTCCAATGTGGGTTGGTCACTTTCCAGAACTTCAAGTCTTGGCTTTGTACAACAACGATTTTACTGGCCTAATTCCTTCTTCTATCTCTAACCTGTCAAAACTCGAACATCTGGATTTTAGGGGAAATTCCCTGAGAGGGCAGATTCCTGAACAGATTGGGAACCTCCAGAGCTTGAAGTTTCTGAATCTTGAAAGCAATCAGCTCACTGGTTCCATACCCTTGTCCATCTTCAACATCTCAACCATGGAAAAAGTTGGATTCACTTTTAACAACTTATCTGGAACTCTTCCTGTTTATCTTTGCCGCCATCTTCCAAATCTCAGTAGGATTGCTCTATCTTTCAACCAGATACATGGTCAAATCCCATCAAGTTTATCTCAATGTTCACAACTTGAGATGCTGTCACTCTCGGACAACAATTTCAGTGGATCCATACCAAAAGAAATTGGAAACTTAGAGATGCTTGAGGGCTTATACCTCGGAACCAACAATTTACAAGGTACATACTGGTGCTGAACTTGAGCTCTTCTATTAGTTTTATCTTGTACAAACAATGTCAAAACTCCAAGGCAAACGCATGACGGTGTATACATACTTCCAATTTATCATTTTTCACAAACTGTTAGTAGAATATTTCTTTTACATTTCGGTAGTCAGTGTCTTTTTTTCATCACTTATTTGTGGGTACGCTTTCATATTACAAATAAATCTTTGAAATTGGCAGGGCTCATTCCACGAGAGATCGGCAATCTTAGGAACCTCAAGGAATTTGGCATAGAAAGAAACCAAATCACAGGCTCTATACCCAGAGAAATTGGGAATTTGACCGAGCTTACATTGATTGTATTTGCGCACAACTTCTTAACAGGTACCAGATTACATTTAATTAGTGATATTTCCAAAATCATGTTCCATAACATCTTAAATCTCTTATTTCCTGGTTCTTTAAGAATTTACACTTGCCACTTCCATTTGCATTATTTGATAGGTGTAATACCAGAAGAGATGTCCAACCTTCACAAACTGGAGGCACTTTATTTAATATTCAATGAGTTAAATGGCTCAATACCGGTTGGGATCTTCAACCTCTCAACGTTGAGTGTGGTTTCATTGGGATTCAATCACCTCACAGGCAATCTTCCTTCAAATATTGGTTACCAATGGCCAAATTTAGAAAAGTTTCATCTTGACGGAAATAACATCGGTGGAATTATGCCAGCTTCTATTGTAAATTGCTCTAAATTAACCATTCTATCCCTTCCAGGAAACCGATTTACTGGCTCCATTCCAAACTCCATTGGGAATCTTGAACTCCTGGAATCTCTATTTCTTTCTGACAACAATTTGACCAGTGATCCTACATCTTTGGAGCTGGAGTTTCTTACTTCGTTGACAAATTGCAAGCATTTAAAGACTTTAGAGCTAGCTGAAAATCCACTTAACGGGGTTCTTCCAGCTTCCATTGGAAATCTTTCTACATCCCTACAATATTTCAATGCAAGAGCTTCTAATATCAAAGGCCCCATCCCAAGAGAAATTGGCAACTTGAGCAGTCTACTCTTGATTTCTCTAGAAGACAATCAGTTAACTGGAGATATTCCAAGAACAGTCCAAGACTTACAAAACCTTCAGGTGCTGTCTCTCATGAGAAACAAACTAGGGGGCAGTCTAGATAGTTTCTGTAAGATGCACAGCTTATCTGAGTTATATCTTAGCCAAAACCAAATTCCAGGCATTATTCCAGATTGTTTTGGCAATATGACATCTCTCAGGGATATTTACCTTCGCTCCAACTTATTAACCTCTACTATTCCTAGAAGCTTGTGGAAATTAAGAGATCTCTTAGTGCTTGTCCTGGCCTCAAACTCCTTAATTGGCTCATTGCCTCTCGAGGTTGGAAATTTGAAGGCTGCCATAAATATTGACATGTCAATGAATCAAATCTCTGGGGAGATTCCTTTGACAATGGGAGATTTACAGAACCTCCAAAACCTTTCTTTGGCAGACAACCAGTTGCTAGGATCAATTCCTGAATCTTTTGGAAACCTGTTCAGCTTAACATCCCTAGACTTGTCAAATAACAGCCTTTCTGGTTTGATCCCAAAATCATTGGATAAACTTCAATCCTTGAAAGTCCTTAACCTTTCTTCTAATCATTTGAGGGGTGAAATTCCCTCGCTGGTCCTTTCAGAAGCTTCACAAGTGAATCCTTCATTTCCAATGACGCTCTGTGTGGCGATCCAAAATTTGATGTTCCACCATGCCAAACCAATCCACAACATGGATCAAAATTGAAAAGGGTGCTTTTAATTACACTTTGCTTACTGGGGATTGCTATTGTGGTCGTCTTAGCCTTGGCCGTTGTATTCATAAGATTCCAGAGGAAGAAAAAGGTTCCAAGTGCAACAGATTTCTTTCCTGGTGTAACCAGGAAAGAAAGAGTTTCTTATTATGAGCTGTTACAAGCAACTAATGGGTATGGTGAGAGCAATTTAATTGGCTCTGGGAGTTTTGGATCAGTTTATAAAGCGACTCTAGGTGATGGTAGGTCAGTGGCTGTAAAAGTATTTAATTTGCAACTAGAAGGTGCAGAGAAGAGTTTTGATGTGGAATGTGATGCACTCTGCAACCTTCGCCATCGAAATCTCGTGAAAGTCATCAGCAGTTGCTCTAAACATGATTTCAAAGCCTTGGTCCTTGAATACATGTGTAATGGGAACCTTGAGAAATGGCTGCACTCTCCTAACTATTTCTTGAATGTCTTCCAAAGATTGGACATTATGATAGATGTGGCAAGTGCTTTGCAATATCTGCACCATGAATACTCGACACCTGTGATTCACTGCGACTTGAAACCAAGTAATGTCCTCATTGATGAAGATATGGTCGCCCATGTAAGTGATTTTGGTATTGCAAAGTTCTTGGGAAAGGAGGAGAGCACTGCATTAACCAAGACCTTAGCAACAATTGGTTATATGGCACCGGGTAATCTTAACAATGTGTTTCTATTGAATTTTTTTTCTTTTTCTTTTTTTTTATAATGATTTGTTGGATTGATTGCACCATTTCTTGTAGAATATGGATTGGAAGGATTAGTGTCAACAGCATGTGATGTCTACAGCTATGGAATCCTGCTAATGGAAGTCTTTACGGGAAGAAGGCCTAGTGATGAAATGTTTGATGGAAATATAAACTTGAAGAGTTGGGTAAAAGATTCTATGCCTAATGCAACTGTTCAAGTTATAGATGCAAAATTGTTGAAGCCTAATGAAGAACGATATGCAGAAAAGTTGGAATGTTTGTCGTTAATCATGAGATTGGCCTTAAATTGTGTTCCTGAATCTCCCAAGGAAAGGCTCAGTATGAAAGCTGTTGTGGATACATTGCATAAGATCAAGCTAAGATATCTTGAGTGTCATGTCACGGACGTAAATAAATAAAGAATGCAATATTCCAAAGCATCTTTCTGTACGGATTAAGAAACTATATAGTAAATAAGTTTCTCAAATCTTTGGGGGAAAAAGCCAACTTGGATCGTTTTCTCTGATCCCCAAAACCCTGTTTGTTTGAATCTGTAATTTTACTTGCAATTTACTTCATATTTAGGCACACCCATTTATTGGTCCTATATTTAGGCATTTTTATGTATGTTTAGCTTAATTTATTAAAAAAGCTAATACATAATGTCTCCTCTTCATGAGTTTCCAGGGACATCTCAAAATAAAAACCCTTAATTTATCTTTAAGTTAATTAATTTGTCTAACAGGTGCCCGGCGGAAGCACAAATTAAGATACAGATTAGGTGTTCATTGTTATTTATGAAAAGAAAAATTAAACGTAGCTAATTTTGTGTGTGTATACTGCACAGAGCCAGGCTTGAAAATTTCATAATTCATAGTAGTCATTAACTATATATATCTTCTATTAACACTAGTATGCTAAGTGTTTTTTTGTCAATTCAGCAAAAAAGAAAGTAATAATAATAATACAGGCAATCTTCCACTAGGATTCAATTTATTCACAAGAATCGAATTTGGATCCAAGTTGCCCAATTTAGAGCAAATACAGGTCGATGGAAACTATGTTGGTGGACTAATACCGGCGTCTATTGCAAATTGCTATTACTGTCTCTTGCAGTCAACCAATTCAGTGGCTTCATTCCTAACTCCTTTGGGGATCTTAGACTCCTACAATACTTGGTTCTATTCCGGAACAATTTGACTATTGAACCTTCATCTTCTGAGCTGGGCTTCATCTCCTCCCTGACAAAATGCAAATACTTGACATATTTAGCATTGGATGAGAATCCATTCAATGGGGTACTTCCGGCTTCTATTGGAAGCCTCTCTGCTTTCCTTCAGAAATTTTATGCCGGAAGTTGTGGAATCAAGGGTACTATCCCTAGTGAAATTGGCAACTTGACCAATTTAATACTACTTGCTCTAGGAAACAATAAATTGACTGGAGGGCTTCCAACAACAGCCAAGAATCTGCAGAACCTGCGAGGATTATCTCTTTCAAGAAACAACATCATTGGCAGTCTAGACCATTTTTGTTTGCAAAGCTTGACTGAATTATATATATACCAAAACCAAATTTCAGGGTCGCTACCAGAATGTTTTGCCACTCTGACTTCTCTTAGGATCCTTGATCTAACAAACAACTATTAGCCTCATACGAAGCTTTTATAACCTCAAAGACCTTTTGCACCTAAATGCATCCTCGGATATTTTTGATCGGTCCCTTGCCTCAAGAAATTGGAGATCTAAAGGCTGCTATATCCATTGACCTGTCAATGAATCAATTCTCAGGGGAAATTCCTAGCACAGTCAGTGACTTGAAAAACTCGCTTAACCTTTCTTTAGCACACAGCAATTTAGTAGGATCTATTCCAGAATCAATTGGCAAGATGGTCAGCTTGGAATCCATCGACCTGTCACATAACAATCTTTCGGCTACGATCCCAAAGTCACTGGAGGCACTTTAATGTTTCTTATAACCATTTAAGTGATGAAATTCCTTTTGAGGGTCCTTTCAAGACTTGACGAGTAAATCCTTCATTTCCAATGGTGCATTGTGTGGAGATTCAAAGTTTCACGTCGCAAAATGCCAACATGATACTTCAAACCCTCGGTCAAGAGCAGAGAAGATACTTGTAATTGTGTTTATTTCACTTGGAATTGCTATTGTGAATGCCATGGTTTCAGCATGTCTATTCAGAAGATATCGTAAGAAAGAAGTGGCTTCAGGGGGAACAACCAGGGTCGTAGTATCAACACAAGAAAGAGTTTCACACTATGAACTTCTTCAAGCAACTGACGGATACAACAAACAATTTGCTTGCATTGGGAGTTCTGGATCTGTTTACAAAGGGACGCTAAACGATGGAAGGACAGTTGCTGTAAAAGTATTCAATTTGCAATTGGAAGGAGCACTGAAAAGCTTCGATGTAGAATGTGAAGTATTGCGGAACCTTCGCCATCGAAATCTTGTGAAGGTCATCAGTAGCTGTTCTAACCAAGATTTTAAGGACTTAGTGCTCGAGTATATGAGCAATGGAAGCCTTAAGATGAGAAATGGTTATACTCTGAAAACTACTTCCTAGACATCTTGCAAAGATTAAACGTGATGATAGACGTGGCTAGTGCATTGCAATATCTCCACCAAGAGTATTTGACACCGGCCGTTCACTGTGATTTGAAGCCTAGTAATGTTCTACTTGATGAAGACATGGTAGCCTGTGTAAGCGATTTTGGAATTGCAAATTGTTGGGAAAGGAAGAAAGCTTTGCATTAACCAAGACTTTTGCTACCATTGGTTATATTGCACCAGGTAAAAAATTCCTAGTTCTAGTATTCTTTTGCTTCCTTTTTTTTTCCTTTTTAATTTGTTCTATTTCTTTTTTTGGGTAGAGTGTGGATTTGAAGGATTAGTATCCACAGCATGCGATGTTTATAGCTAATGAATTATGTTAATTGAAGTTTTTACAAGAAGAAGGCCGAGTGATGAGTATTTGCAGGACAGTTAAACTTGAAAAGTCGGGTAAACGATTCCATGCCTGACGCAATTCTTGAAGTTATAGACCCCAATTTGTTGAATACGAAAGATGAACATTTGGAGCAAAAGTTGGAATGTATAGGATCATTGATGAAATTAGCCTCAAATTGTGCTCTTGATTCTCCTAATGAGAGACTTAAGTATGGAAGAGGTTCTTGAATCCCAGAAGAAGATCAAACTCAAGTTTCTTGAGTGTAGTAGAGGTTGATAAATTGTACCTCATGCATATCGTGTAGAAAATTGGCCAAGCGAAGATAAGAACAGAGAAATTTAGAATTTTATGCCCATGTATCTGCTTACTTCATTAAAGGACCGGTGACTAATTCTATGATAAACTTTTCAAAAACTGAAGGAAGTTTGACCTTAGCAACAACAGCAGCAAAACTGTTAGATTTTTTGGGACATAAACTAAGAAATAACAGTTTAGTATTATAAAAAAAGCTTATAAGAGACTTGTATTGAAATTGAAAATAAGCTTACGTCATTCATTTATCAACTCACTATATATAATGACTACATGAAACAAACTAGCAAAATATCTAACTAACAATTATCCTAAAAATCTCAATAAAATATAATCTTTTTTTTTCAGACGCAGGGGGTATCCGAACCTTCGCCTAACTAATCACCCTACGGCTCGAGAGAAGAGACCCGATCCTTTCGAACACGTTAACAAACCAACATGATATTTGATTAACAAATATCCTTATTCTTTCAATAACTAAATTATTTGATACCAAACATAATCTAGCAAAATCTGTAAAAAAAAAGATGGCATATCTCAATAAAAACCCTTTATCTTCTCATACTAATATTTTTCTCCCTCAAAGTACATTAGCAAGATCAAGATAAACAGATTCCGTTACATTAGGAGATAAATATAAACAAATTATAATTTTTTAAAATGAATACTTAAAATATCATTTTATTTCCATCAAAAACATGTTTTTCACTCGTCGTTTTATTGCACATCCATTACGTTATAAAAATTGTTACGATAACTATTTCTAAATAATATTTCAAATAATATTCTTATCTAAACACATTTATTATAACTTAGTATTAATTTTATATATTATTAATGTATATATTGATAATACAGTAACATACATCGAAAGTCGCTAATATTATACATCCTAACAGTGTATGAAGAATTAATCTCTGCAAAAGTGAAGGGAAAGTTGACTGAACTAAGCTACCTATTAAGGTCAAATTTTGAAGTCCTGATCTTGGGAATGGGCGCACTTAAAGGTGACATTTGGCGACTTGGCTTGATAGGAGCCGCCATACAGGGATATATAGATAAGCTCAAAATTGTGTTTACGCCAGGTGCCAACAATATATAGGGCAGGTGTCGCGCTAAGAAAAAACATAGATTCGATACAGCTCATCAATTTCCCCGTCCCATCATTCTTGTTGAATGAGTAATCATCTCCCAAGCCCATCAATTACGCCCAATCCATTTCCTTGTTGAATTATTAGATTCGCAACAGCCCTAAATTTGAGCTGTTGTGGCCCAATTTAACCAGCTGTCCATCAACCAATAGCCAGCCTGTAGAGATTGCTGCCGAACAACCTAACTCGCTGCCCGAAACTCTTGCCCGCCCTAATCTCTCTATAAATTCCAGCTCCCATCGCTCTCAAACTCTGCTGCCACCATTCTTTCTAGGCCTCTCCTCTCTCTCCTCTTATTCAGTACCTTGAGAGCAATGGCAGTCTCACGCTCCGCAGCTTCGGTTGTACCATTGTTGGTCGTGGTGGCCATGGTCTTCTCGCTAGTCGGAGCCTCGTTCGCCGCCGAGGCTCCTGCACCGGCTCCCGCTTCTTCCGCCGTGTCAGTTTCGCCGTCATTGGTGGCCGGATTCGCCGTTGCCTTCGCTTCTTTCATCTTCGGATCTGGATTCAGAGTTTGAAGTAGTACAGTTATTTATATTATTTGCAGGAGATATTTGATTTTGGGGAGGTTTTGTACATGTGTTTATTACTACTTAGCTATGATGTTAGTGTAGTAACCGCTGCTGCAGTTTGTTTTTCCTTTTTCATTTTTTTTTTATTATTTTGTGAGTTTCTCGAGGGGTTTGTTTCTAGCATGTTATTGCAGAGTTGCAGTTTATTTTAAATTTCTCTTCACTAATATTTCGTTAAAATATCTTTTATTGATTTACAATCTTAATTGTCTCATTGCACCGTTATTATTTTTTAATTTTGTGGGGTAATTAAAAACACGGGGAAAAAATCCCTATTATTCTACAATTTTTTTTGTTTTTACCCTTGGTAACTAATGAATACTAGTACTATTAGACAATTTTATGTGTACCAATAATTACAAGTAGGCCTAAAAACAATAGCAGACAGGAGTGAAGCATTATGTGACTTAATTGAGTCTAGCATTTAGTTGAAACTCGAGTCTAACAACACACAGATTAAGACTCCTATTTTAGCGAAGAAAAATGCTTGATTAAACTAGAAATTCGAATGAGAAAAAGTATTCAATCAAGATGCTTGATCAATAAATGGGGCTAATACATAATTTCCAATTTGTGTCAGGAGCGGAATTTATATATAAGCCACTAAATCCAGCGTTGTTCTATTTCGCTTCTCAACCATCACAATGGTCCTATCCTCCATCGAGCAAGCTAAACCAAATTATGGCAACTGAGCTAGGGGTGTACTCAATTCGGACTCACGAGTAACTCCAACTTCAATACAGTGTTCATCTAGTTGGAATCGAATTCGACCTACTTGATAAGAAAATCTAGTCTACTTTGAGAGTATTCGTCGTCAATCTTATCAAGTAAGATATTTATAATTAATTTTTAATTATTTCTTATAAAATTATGAAATTCACGAAAAAAAACCGAACCTTCCTCTTAAACCTTGATTAATGACTCATCAGAAAAAGAAAATCCCGAGTTGGAAAAGAAAGGTGATAGATACTCAAGACCAACTGAATTTGCTTTGGATTCTTCTCCAAGTGTACTTTATCAAATACAGGGCACATTAATCTTGCCAAAAGTACGCTGGCGTACTCCACTTGACAAAAGCTTAACCTTCTTTACCCATTGATTATCAGCAGCAGATGATCACCTTTTAGCACGAAACCTACAAGTCAATCAAATCCAAAGGGGGGTTCTACTCGGAATCGGAATCCATGTTTCCCATAGCCTCAGTCCTCGTGGTCTCTACAAATGTGAAATTAAGAGGTCACAGTTGAAATCTCCGTAAATGTTCGATTACAGAACCAACAAATGTTCAATCTAATCAGAAGCGATACAAATATATAAGAAGCATACCTTTTTTGACACCTTTTTCTCCCTAACCTCGTACGTTCTAGTGTAAGATCACAGAGCCATGCCCCTGGACTTACCAACTGCACCACAAACAAAATCGCAACTTACATTTTTTTTTTAAAATTTTTTCCCAAAAGTGATAAAAACAAACAAGTCATAAAATGCTAAAACCAATTTCGGAAGAAACAAGAACATAGCATACACAACCACAGGGTTTTGTATTAAAAAAAATCAAGACATGAAAAAAAATCTCAGATTGATATTAAGTACACATGAAATATTAGAAGGACAGACAAGAGCAATCACCAACCACACTACTTTTAAGTTAGGTAGGAAGTAAGTAATACAGCAGATTAGATTAATTGCTAACTGCTGCTGCATAACAGCCTTTGAATAGTGAATAATTAAATTACTCAAGCACATAAACCAGTTTTGGACTGCAAAAAGCACTTCTTAAACATAATCACGCCCTGTGTTTTTTTATGCCATTGTGCTTTGTCCCTTGTGCCTTTGTCAGTTGGTCAGGTGGTCCAAAGAGATGGATTCCACCAAATGTAATAGTAAGAATATGACACTTCTACCAAAAAAAAAGGAATATGACACTCATGGGTATAATGTTCTTCCATTATCATCCACAAGCTGATCAAACCATTTGGCTAGGAATTAGAATCATATCGAGCTTGGTCTCCATGTTCCAAAGAAATTTGTTTGCCGGAGCTATGATCCAAATTCCAAAGCAATTATTGAATGGAGTAGGCATCATTATACACAGTGCTTTACTTTTCTTCCTTGCAGAGCACAATTAGACACTGTCCAACTACTAATATACATACACATACATACAGATATAAATATATATATATACACACACACACACACACAACAAATAACGTGTAATATGTGATTTAGTGCAAGTGATACAATATCTTTGATCACTTAGCTAATCAACTTGTCTAACCAAATAATTAATTGGGTTCTCGTCACTGTCCAAAGGCCTCGTGGCACCTGTATACTCTTAGTTCAACCAGCTACGTTTTCTATGGTCAGCAATTGCTAAATTAATCTGCATCCATGCTACATCTGCACGTGTCCTGCATCAACCAGATGTCATCCTCTTGCACGCATACATAAGCACTTAGTTCTTTATGGTTTGTAGCCCTTTGTGAAAAAAGCCAAAAGCCCACCAAGGTCCTAAGTCACGGAGGAGGAGAAGACCTCACCAAAAAGCATGGTGTTGTTTCCACCATTGCTTTTGCAATGCTTTTTGTACCTAAACCAGCAACTATTATCTAAAGTGAAACTAACGTACTGATTCTCTAAAGACCTTCTTCTTCGCAAACAAGCTACCTTTTGTTCAGAGGCAAAAATTCAGTAAATGCGTAATCAACAAGAAAAATTAAACAACCCAGTTGACTCAATAATAAAAAAAAAGTACTAGTATACTTGATTTTGCTAGAAAAACTGAAGCAGCAACTCTATTGCTGTGGCAACAAATTTTATACTCTCTATGGATAATTCTAAAAAGGGTAATGAAGGGAACAACAAGAAGCAGAGATTACTTGAAAGTTCAAAACAGAGCAGTTGATCACAAATTATAGCAACTTGATATAAAACAAAAGATAATCAGAGAGTAGAGAACTTACATTGAGGGTGCGTTGGATGAACTTAGCTCTTTTCTTGGGTCTTTGAGGGAGTTTGGAACCCTTGATGGCCATAAAATCTTCTTCTTTCTCCTTATTCGTCAAGGCGATCACGAACTTAGGCGGCCAAACAGCAGGATCGCATCACTCCCGGATGAAGTCCTCCTCCTTTCTTGCTATCCGATGATGCCGACCCATTGATATTATTGCTGTTATCATTATTGTTGTTGCTGTTATCATTATTGTTGTTGCTGTTGTTCTTGGTACCATTGCTGTGGTGATGAAGGCTGTTGTTGCCCCTTTCCTATCATGGCCACCAGCCCCTACCCTGTCCGGGGAAGCCAAACCCCTCACCCCGTTGCTTTGTCCCCTCATAGCCAGTGAACTATCGGAATTCCTAAGAAAAGAAAAGAACCAAAAAAAAAAAACACAAAAACAATTTGTAATCAGAAAACACTGAACATAAATTTCTAACATCATTCCTCCTAGGACTAGCATGGGCTGTAAAATATGCACTACCAATAACATTTAGGCCCTTTTACTACAAGGGAAAAGTAAACTACCAAAATAGCCTTTGTGGGGTAGTCACGAAACGATAGATCTCGGGGTTACGTTGAATTGTACGCTATGAAAATTGAAAACAAGAATCACGCTGGGGAATTGCGTAGAAAATGGGCGAAGGGTATACGGGCGCTGATTTCTTGAGCCCGGATAAAAGCTTTAAAAAAAGTGATCAAAAAAGAAAGATTATGTGGGTTGGGTGCGTGTTATACGCTGGGAATATTTTAGGGGAGAAGGGGAAGCTTTTTACGGTTTTTGGTTTCTGGCCGTAGGATCGATATTCCCATTACATGTAAGGGAAGGGTTACGTGTCCCAACACCTCTCTATTGGATGGATCTTCTAATGATGCTGGAAATTGATAGGGAATTGGAGTTTACATGATATCCTTATTGTTATACATACACATACATGGACGTGTTGAAAAGGGCAGCGAGTAGGGCCCACTGCCTTAATTGCCTGTGATTGCAACAACACACAAAATAGAAAGAAAGAAATGGGTTAATTGACCCGATCATAAAAATGGATTCTCAGTTTCGTCTTCCCCAGCCCATCAAGAAAATCAAAATAATTAATATGTTTTGTTTTTTTATCAGTTGATCCGTTTTGACCTTCCATAATGACACCAGCAATCCTCATTATCTGTGGTTAATAACGTTTACACCCACCCAGCGGAGGCCCGCCCCATCCACGTCTTCTCAATCAAAACATTATAATTCCATTTAATCATGACAAAATTGCCATACGTGGAGGGGTTCAATTCTGCAACTATCTGATGGTTACCTTTAAAGCGACCAAGGATCAAGACGCGCGTGACAATAGATCACTTCAAAATTTTTTAGAGATCAAAGAATTCATTGAGCGTGAGACAGACAAAATAGCTAGCACGCCATATTATGCCTATCCATCCAACTTAAAAGTGACAAAGGATCCAAGTCCCAAAACTATTATCTTAAAAATGGAAATTTCCATGCCATGATCAGCCACACGATCTATTTTGGGCTGGACGTCCACCCATGTGATAATATTCTATTACTATTTCATTTGGGTCCGTCTGGATCGGAGATTATTTGAAAAAAAAAATATTAATTAAAATAATATTATTGTATCACTTTTTGAGATGTGATATATATATATATATAAAACTAAAAATTAACTAAAATAATAGTCTATTAATTTACTTTGGGTCCATTTGAATTAGAGATTATTTGAAAAAAAAATTAACTAAAATAATACTAGAGATATTTTTACTGTAACACTTTTTTTGATGTGATGTATGTGAGATAAAAAGGTAATTGGGAAGGTAAAAAGGTGTATTGGAAATTGTAATGATGATGTAAGCAAATAAATTTGGGGAAATAAAGCCCAATCCAAACAAACACACTGTATCACTTTTGTAATACAATGTTTATATATAAAATAAAAAATAATTATATTTAAAATAATATTATAATATTTTTTGTGATATAATACATGTGAGATAAAACGATGATTAAAAATGACGCATCTATGTGATGTAAGTAGGACAACTCCTCTTGCAAGCCGTAAGTAGGATATTCAAATATGAAAAAAAATTAAAAGAAAAAAAAGATTGATAATAGGTTAGATTATAAAATTGGGGAAACCGTCTTAAATCTTTTAATAATTCTATTTTGCCCATCAATCAATCCATACCCCACCCACTAAACCATCATCAATCAAAAATTAAGGAGCCCCACCACTTCCATCAACCCAAATCCCACAAACTCTCCAATCCCATGCGCCGCTCACGTGACTCAACCACACTGAGTTGGATTTTTAAACCCCACAAAAAAAACCAGAAGAAAAAAATAACAACCAATTTTATCAAAACAGAAAACAAAACAATAAAAAAATGTACCTAAGAATTCGGTGAGATGGAGAAGCCGGCCGCTGACGGAGGTTCAAATAGACATTTCCGCCGTTATTGGAATTCCCATTGTTGTTATTAGCATCACTGGGCTGAGATAAATCCTTATTATGGTCCGATCTTACTAGCCGCCGATCAACCCGACCACAGCTCTCAGACCGCCCGGCTGCAACCCGGAGGAGTCGCGGTTATTGCCGTTGTCCCGGACTTTGGCCTGGAATTTCATACAACGCAGCCTTTTACGGCTCCCCCACTGTAAACCGAAGTCAGACGACGTCGTAGCAGGGGACCTGGTCTCATTGCTACTATTATAGTGGTGGTTAGGATTCGAATTCCTCTCCATCCTTATCTCTACCTTTTCTGGCCCTTTTTTTTTTTACTTCCACCTGTCGGACAAATCACCACTGTAATTAAAATTCTTTACTGCAGCATTTAACTGGAGTTAAAAAAAAAAAGTCACAAAATTAACACCAAATCAGAGTTGGTGATCAATTATTGACCATTCAGGATTTGTTTGCTAAAATTAGGAAATTCTGGGTTTCTAAAGTGGTACTAACACTGGATTTGGAAGACGAGTTGGTTTCCAGGAGAAGATCTTATCAATTCATATGGAGGAAAATTACATTATTCAAGAATCAAAAATGGAGGAAATGGAAAAGTTTAGCCATTTATGTTCAAAACAAACACCATTCAAGGGAGGAAGAAAGAAGGGGAAAGGATAAAGAAAGGGTCATCCTCCTGAGCCCAAAATTGCGTATACAGTCAAGGGAGCAATTAGAAAATAAAATGCTTCTCTTGAAAAAACAGAAACTGAAAATTTTCTGAGAGAAACAGCATATGAAGATGATTTTTTACCTTTCATAACAGGGTTCGTTCATTGAAGCAAATCTCTGAGTAATTCAATTGGATTGTAGAGATAAAAGGCAGGGGAAAATCCCAAAAGAAAAAAAAAAAAGGTTTCCATCTGAAAAACTGGAATAGAGAAAGAGCAAAAGTTGAAGAAGAAAATATTCTGATCACCAATTCCAATCATCTGACAGGCTTTTGCTTGCTGAAATTTAGACCAGCAAATTTTCTGAAACTATTGCTTGGGAATCCAAATAATCACATTACCTCAAAATTATGCTGAAATTCTGTAATCAAAGAAGTTGCTCCTGGATGAAATCTTGGCAACCACTTTGGAATCTCTGTCAGAGAGACCTTAGTTTTGACACATCACACGAATCGGCCTCAAAATCTGTAAAAACAAAGCCCCATAAAAAAATTCCATCAGTTTATTGAAAATCAAACATCAGTAGTAGATGAATTCTCTGATTTTTGGCAAATGAAAGAAACAAATTTTAGTACCTGAATTTGTATTTATACACTTGGATTTCATTTTGAAAACTCATATCAACAACCGAGAATCAACAATGGTTCTGATCGTCTTTAGTCCTCAGAATTAGGAACTGTTTCAAGTAAATCAGAGCTTTAATCCTCTGTCTGAATTCCAAATCCGATCTTCACCAACCCAGAAACTGATCCTCCGACTTGAAAATTCCTGCAATCTCCCCTGTCGAACAGAATTCAGCAAAAAAAGACAAGCTTAAATCGCCAAAGATTCATACAAGAAAATCCACGAAAATCAAATTTCCAATACCATCACTAACCTCCAAAGCTTCAGGATCAGACAGAAAAATGAGATTTCTAAGGAAACTCAAATCCCAGTCCAAACAAATTCTTCTGAAAACAACTCCAATTCCTCTTTGAATAATGTATCTGTTTAACAAAAAACAAGCAACATAAGATCAATTTTCTCAATTACTACAGATAAGCTGGGCCTTTCACCACAATTTCTCAGTACAATTGTAACAGAGCAGCAGGCAGGCAGATCTTTCTCAGTTCAAGAAAATCCATCCAACATTTTCACCTACCCAGATGTTTCCAGCAAAATCAAGACGCTCCGCTGCTTCTATTTCTCTTTAAAAGAATATGGCAGAAAGGAAAAACAGAAAATTCAGAGAAAGAGAGAAGAGAGTGCTGTTTCCTTCTTCTTCTTCAGATAAAAACTACAAAACAGAACGAAATAGTCTCTCTCCCTTTCTTTCAAACCCCTGGTTTTATACCTCCTTTTTTTTTTTTTCAATTTCCATGCTCTTTACATCAGGCCGCCCATCTTCAATCCCCTGTGTAGTAGATATTATCGGACGGCCCAAATGTCTCCTCGTTCCACACGTCATCATCTTTGTTAATTCCCCCGTTTTCGTCGTTAATTCGTCGGATGGAATCTTAACACTTTTAACATTTTCACTCTACCCCCTCAAATTTTAAGCCTATTTTACCTCGATATTTCAATTGCATCACTCAATTACTCTGCACAATTTATTTGACCCAATCTATTTCGCTAAATGAATTTTTGGTTTTACCAATTTTGTAAGAGAATCATCATGCTCGAAAAAGTCAGGTAATACCCCAAAAAAATCATAATTCATTTTCAAACCAAATCTAACAAAACTATTTTTCCTTTTTTTTTTTCCACATTTACGCCATAGTTGGTTTTTTAGCGAGGGAGCAAGGTTTCACTGACAATTTATTGTTCTGTCATCGTGCTATGTAATTTGAGTGTAATTACATAAAATTATATGATTTGAGCATATAGAATGAAAAATCATTTGAAGAGAGATATAAAATTTATCAACCCCTACATAAATATATATTGCCAATATATCAATTTAGGGAAAGAAAACAATTATTATGCAAATATTGGACCTTTATCATATTATAAGCATCAATTATATGGGATGAGGACACTAAATTTCAAAAAAAAAAAAAAAAACTGCAGGTTATTTACAATATTCAACTGCATCTAAAGAAAATCTAATGATATAAACAAAAAGCCATATATCATACCTTTGATTGGATTTTACATACTCTAAAACAACAATTTTGCACTTTCTCTAACTAGTGAATCATTTGTTTTTCTTCCACGTTCGGAACAAGCATGTCAAAAAACTTGTTTTAGTCATACTTTTTAGAAATTTGTTAGAAACTTCTAAAATTTCAAAATGTCTGATGCTATTTTAGTCATACTCTTTATGTACTAATTCTAATTCGCCTCATCATATGTTCTTGAATCTACTCATGAATTTCTTACGTGTGATGTTTGAGCTCATTGTGTCAATGCACCGAGATTTGGAGGAAAAAGATAAGTTAAAAACAAAACAAAACAAAATGTGTTCAGAATTTTGTGTTTGTAAAACATGCTCGGAAGAAATTCTATTAGTCAGTGGATGCAAGTACTTCATAAATATAAGTATATAGCATGTAGCGTTGAAGGGTGGAGGTTGTTTTTTTTTTTTTTATCCTTTACACACATTTTTTCGTCGGCCTATCTATTTTTAGTATGTTTATCAGGTAAACAAAATTAAACATTCATCAAAGCAAAAAGCAAAACTTACTATTCCGTGTTGCATCAATTTTTTCGATTAATCTTATTCACAGTAACAACAATAATGTATGCACTGTCTTCATTGAATGGATAATAACTGATTATCTGAATTTAGATTTAAATTTTAAATTTTATACATCCAACTGTAATAATATATATATATATACACTATCAATCCATACAAGATTGATTCTTTTTTGATTATTATTGTTAGTCAATAGAGATGTTGCGTTAATAGATGCCCTGTATTTTGGACAACGGAGTGCTGATGAAGAAGCCTCATTATGCTCTGTCTGTCTCATTACTGTATGAAATGATGGCATGGATCTCAAAAGCGCATGAAAAAACCGTTAATTCTTTGTTATTTTGGCCATTGTTATTTGTTGCTTGTGCTCTAAGTTTGAACCTAAGCTCGCTCCAATTGTGTCCTTTTATCCATTGAAAAGAAAATGTTTTCTATCTCCCCACAATCACTATGCTACATCACGCACTCCTTTACGACCGTTCAAACCAAAAGTAAAGACAAGAAAGAAGCATATCATCACTAATTCTCATGCATCGAAAATTGACCAAAAATCTGCCCCCCAGAAAAAAAAAAAAAATCTAGAGTTGGCAAATATTATTATCTGTCTCTGTCTCTCTCTTTCTGTTTTTTTTATTTTAAAAAAAAAAAAAAGTCTCTGGAGTGTTTTATTCGTTCGGATGAAGAGATGAGATGGAAAATCTTTTTCTTTTGGGTGCTACTTGAGGAAGGTGAAGATTCCAGAGTTTTGTGTGGGGGATAATTTTGAGCAATGATGGTGATGTGCAGAATTGTCAGAGGATGGAGAGTGAAGAGTAGCGGTGGATTTTGAGAGTAGGGGCAATTTTGTCACAAACATATATAAAATATTTATTAGTGAGGCTCGAGCCAAATTTAGAGTGTAAGTATCGTTTATTTTTTTTTTTTTTTTTTTTGGTCACAAACATTAATAAGTTTTATGAAGAATTATTAAACATTTTCAGATTCCTTTTGTTTAAAAAATAGGGACTTCATTACGCAGAACAAAAAGATATAGGAGCAAAGCCAAACTCAAGGGAAAAAAGTTATACAGATGATTACAAACATAATCATATATATATATATGCTATGCTTCCAATTCCATGAGACAGAGCACATTGGTTACCCATATTCCCCTCTCATGCTGTCACATAAGCATTTTGCTGCAGTATAAACTAACACACACACACAAACGCAATGATGCAGCAAGACTAGAAAAATACAGCCATATGACAATTGTCATTATCTAAATATAGAGCACCTAGGCTTTTCGGTAGAGATATGATATGCTTCTCTGAGGATTATTTACAAGGAAGCAAATCCAATGAAAAGCAAGTAGGCTATTTTACAATCATAATTGATCATATGTGCAAGCAAAAATATGCTGTCACATTCTAGGTAATTTTGTTATCAATTTCTGAAACAATCATCATGCACTGAATCCCCGGTGGAGGGAGCTCCATGAATTGGATGGAAGGCTGACACAGGCTTGGGCTGCGCCTCAGCCATCTGATCTTTTTTAATCCCAGCGTTACAGATATTCGCATGGATCGCATGTGTTTCATTCCATATTGGGATAGTGAACCACAATGTGTCTCAAATGTTCTGACCTGCAAGATAACAAGAGCACTTGAATGTATAAGATAAGGTTATTACAGGGTGAAATATGTTGCAAAACCTTGCCAAAAACTGGAGTTGTAAACACTTAGCAATACAGTTCCCTTAGCTAAAGAAATACAGAAAAGAAAAACCTAAAACAACGATCCCTGCAAAAATATGTCAATAACTGTAATTGGTGTCATTTCAGTATGTTGCTTGGGATTTCAGAATCTATTTGATAGAAATGGATATAAAAGTTTACCAAAGATTTTAGGCAGTCCCAGTCATCAGCAAGAGGATGGCCGGCTGGCCGGACAGAGTTCAGTATCTCAGAACCTTTCTCAATTCCAAACAAAAGCTTTCCAATTAGTTTCACGCTATTGTCAATATGCATTCTGTGTGACATAGCTTCAACAACCTGCTTCTGAGCTTCAACTTTCCTCGCAGAGCCTTCAGGAGCCTTGCGGAACTACAAGCATGAAAAAAGTAACAGCAAAGTCAGCCACATCTTGGGAAGGAATTTAAGCTTTTGCACTATTATCTCCCCCTCGTTACGAAAGGGGACATTCTAATTCACCCAGTTGAGGATTTCTGGCCTGTTCTCATGAAACAAAAAATTACTAGTATAATTTTGGCTAGTTCTCTTGTTTACCCTACAATAATACAACATGAGCACATTCTTAATTAATACCTGTTCTAACCAACAATCTTTATACTAATCAGCACTTAGTTCTATAAACTAGGGAGCAAATAAATCTCCAAGAAACACTTTTCGTTCCTGCATAGCAGTGGAGCCAAATGTCTTAACTTCTTTTCAATCTACCATGGGCTGAGGGGCAGATTTACCCTTGTCCTGCTCCACATCACTGTTATAACTCATAAACTAAAACTTGGACATCACAAGAAAAGCATCAAAATAACTCAATGCACTACAAGGAAGCTGTAATACCTTGTCCCAGAAATGCAACAGATCAGCGTCACGTTGATTACAGCTTTTGAAGATGGCCGTAGGGAATTTTCATCCACAAAAGTGTAATTATCATTTGCAGGGTTGGTACCCATGTAGAGGAAAAGATCCTCCAAACTCAGCTTTAGGTCACCATATTGCATAACATGGGAGCCATAAGCTGAATTACTGCTTGAGGTTCTCTTTTTAACCTGCCAATTTCAAGCATTTTGAAATCACAACATGGTACTTGCTAATTGTTTTGAGTAATGAAACATAAAATGTTCCTTTCAATGTAATTTAAAATGAGGAACAAGCCCTTACCAGGTGATATTGCTGCTTCAGAGTTTCAGTGTGCAAATTGTGTATCTCGCTGTAGAAGGAAAAACTATTATGATGAGCACCAAAAACAAACAAAGAAAACAGAAATCATGTAGACCACTTTGTTTGTTAGAGAGTAAAAAATACCCAATAACTATATTCAAATGTTACACCTCCAATTCAAGTCCATATATTGTATTCAATTGTGGCTCATTGGCACTTTTCTTCATCATACTAGTGATATGTAAAAGACAGTATCATGATCACACCAACATGAAACCTTTAAAAGATTAGCATTTAAAACAAGTATATCTCCAGATTAATATCTGAAATCACAGTTAATAATATGCACAAGTGGCTAGGATATTTCAATACCAGTCAAACATACCTGTCTTCCATCCAAGCAACGCTATACAAGTCACCCAAGCAGGTCTCATATTCTGGGGGAGGGCTAGGATACTCTCCAGGGCAATAGGTCCCCCAGCTACTTTCCTCAGCATTTGATGCTGTGGTAGCATATATATTTAGATCTTCAGGAAGAAGTCCCTCAAATATACTTCCTGACTCGCAAGCTTCTAGGTAGAAAACCTAGATATTGATAACAGTATCCAACACATTTTAGACTTCAGTAACCATCTATGCACTCTCTCTGAGCATGGGATAATTCACAAGGAAATGTAAAAAGGAAAGAATATATACCAGACTTTTATATGTGCCAGAAGCATGCTTCTTTTTCAAGACTTCATTCAGATCGTCTGCATAGAGATAAGGACCCGACGGCGTCCCTGATTGCATGCCAAAATAAAAGTAAATATCCTAAAGTCCAAGTTATTGATCCATGGCATGATTTTAAATGACCACAATGTTATCAATAAAAAAAAATCCTACAGTCCAAGTTATTGATCAACGACACAGCATTAAGTGACAAAAATATAATCAACCAAAATTTTTTTGGAGTTTAAACTTCAACTTTATGATAATGTAGATTTCACTATTTTTCTTTCAGATGATGGACATATGCTTTGACCGTACATAGGATTCAAATTCCAAATAATAAAGGAAACAAACAAGTAGACCATCCAACACAAAGGAAAAGTATTGCAAATCTATCATTTCAAAGCCTAAAATTATAAATTAGAACTGTATTATAGGACATGAAATATAAAAATTAGTTTTTGACCATCCCACAAATTTCCCCAGGTACACAAAATTTGGGATAGAAGAAAAGGTTTATGCAAAAGAACGATGTATTAAAGGAATACAATTTTCCCAAGCTACAACCAAAAATCATAGGTACGTCTCTTATTTTGAAATGGAGAGGCTTCCTATCTGCCGGGGTTTCTTTTTCTTTTTTTTTCCCCTTCCTATAATAGGTCAAGTACCATCATAGAATGGTGCTTAAGGACCAATCTCTAGTAAGGAAAGCATAAGTGGCAGATGCAGCTTTCTGATTAGCAAAACTAGAATGTGACCCATTTTTGGGAATTTAGACAGTCGAAAAGAACATCATCACAAAATGATTTAAGGGATGAGTTAACTGCCAATAAGAAGAGATCTTAAAGGTAATTACCAAGAACCCCAGGACCACCATGATCTGTATAGTAGATAAATATATGATCATTTGGACCACTGTCCACAACCTTGCCACTACCCCCAGTAATTGCAGTTTTGTCCCCCAGGATAGCAGCTAAAAAGTTTTTGGCATGAACATCATCTCCAGTATAGTCCTGCCACACATGGGTGCATCAAGTCTCAATAGAAAATATTAGAATTCTACAAGAAATTCATTCTTCAGGAAGAAGAAGAAGAAGAAGAAGAAACCTTTGGGACTCCTTGATAGACATCATCACCATGAGGGCTGTTAATGATAACTCCAGGCCTAGGGTTCTCTTCATTGTAAGCAATATCATCGTACATGAAGACAACAATATTTTCATCCTTAAGACCTCCCCTCTTCAGGATTTGATAGGCATGACAAACATCAGCCTAGATCAAAGAACCATCAAATCGTTAAAATGCTAACTAAGTAAAACAAGAAAATAACTCGTATCCTCTATAAAGATGGTCAAGACAACATTACAGCAGGAATTATTAAGCAAGAGTTGTACTTATGAACACCAACATTGCACTTCATGAACAGATAGACTACATTAAAGACCATAGTATCAATAAACACAATTGTACATATTTCAGTGTCATGGTATGCGAGTGTCCTAAACAGAATTAACAATCTTCCTTTTTCAACAAATTGTCAACCATAACAACTATAGTACCAAAGTTCTTCACAGATCCAGAACAAAAAATCTAATTTATTAGCTGAAAGAAGTAATTAAACAATTCCATGGCGGTAAAAATCACAAAAGCCTCGAGTCTCCAAGAGTGGAATCCCATGTTTGAAAAAGAAACCTAGCCACCTTAGCATGCATGTTTAGAGTAGAAATAGGAATTTCCTCTTCCAGATTCACTAACACAATAAGACAAAATCACAGCATCTCAAATCAATTAGTTCTTCCAGCCAAAAACAAACATGTAGCGCGCATAAGCAATTAGAGATTCTTAACGTTGTAGAAAACAGGTATGCAGCCCCAATATTGTCTGTTGGCCCAAAAAACGAACTAACAATGGTAAAGATTTAGACAGAAAGTTAACAGAAGCCTTTACTTTTTCAGATATCCAAACAATAATTACTCTTCAACAGCCAAAACTGGAGCTTTCCTTGTCTTAGATTCTAAAACGTGGATACTATATCCTACACTGCCAGTATTACCTGTGCTGAAAACCTCGGTTATATAGCCCAAAATCATTTTCCCCTTCTATGGAACATAACTCAAAGGCTTAGATACAGGACATCAAGCTGAGCTGAGCAACCAAAAAGAAAAAAATTCCCACACTTAAGAAAGGCTTCACTCCTTAAAAGCCTTTAACAGTAATCAAGTTAATATTATATACCACGTAATTCAGTTCCTAATCAGATGAAAGATGAAAACTTTTTGTCTCAGCTGACAATGTCACAAGGATTTAATTATCCTTAACCATTCTCAGCTGTAGCAAAAATCATGAAACTATGAAGCCTTCAATTTATCTGGAACCCAAATTCTTAATCCAAATAATCCTTTAAAAAAATCCGTTCTTGTTTTTTTGTTAAGGGGAAAAAAACGTTGCTCTGCAGCTCGATCATCAGGAGTATACTTCAAAAAAAAAAACAATCTTACGACAAATAAACTCAATGGAGAAAAATTCAGCAAAATAAAACAATTCGTCAAAAGTACAGATTTGATCACCTGGTGCGGTAATTCCAGTAACCGTTGGATCCGGCAATCAGAACAGCCCATCTGGTCCCCACTGAGTCGCCACCGGCGTCGCTCCTCTCCTTGGGATGGAAAAAATCGGCAATTTCCGACGGTAACTTTAGGAAGTTATCACGAGCCTCAGCAACGGCGATGATCGAAAGTGCAAGGAGGAGCAAGGCAGCGGTAGCGTACCGCATCATTTTGGATTGCTGTCTCTGGTTATGGAAAGAGAGGTGAAGTTAGGTATAGAAAATTCGAAGTTGGGATTGCCATATGGCATACCCTCCATATTTATAGAGATAAATCTTAATTTCAATTTGCCCCTTCCAAAGATGTCAATTATCACTCTGCTTTTACCAAAAATTAGTTGTCTTTATCCATACCCTTCAACATTTTTATAATAATTTTTTGCTCAAGAGAACAATTAAAAATGATTTTTCCTTTTTAAAGGTAAGTGTTTCTTAGACTACTTTAGAAATAGGAATTTTAATGGCCCTTATTACTTTAGAAACGACAAAGATATTTACTTGCACATGCTTTTATGTTTAATTGTGAATCTTATACATTTTTCAATTCATGTGTTAACACTTTAGAAATGTAAAGTTAAAGACAAAAAACTTATAAACGCAAAGTGGAGTAATATTTGTTAACGTGTGCATTAACACGTGATTAGATCAGTGTATGATTTAGGCCTTGTTTGGCAGACAAATTTTTTGCTAAATTTGTCTATTACAAGTTTTTTAAAAATTTAGTTACAGTAATCTCAAAAAACTTTTCAAAATTTTTAAACTATATATTTTAAAATATTTTTAAAAAAAATACATTTTAAAAACTTCTACAGTAAGTAAGTTACAATAAAATTTTAGACAAACACTAAAAATCACTTGCTAAACGGACCTTAGATATATGAATAAGTGTTTATTAAACACTAGTTAAAAATCCCATTTAATTACAATTAGTTACGATAATATAAGATCATGGTCCAATTATCATGAAAGAAGATGCGGAGCCACAATTAGAATAGCTCTGAGTTTGAGGAGCTAAATTGGATTTGCCCATGAATGGGAACATATTTTCCCTACTGCTCGGAGTCCAGGTCTGACCTGCAATCTGATCGGAGATTCTCCGGATTCTTGATAGATACTTACGTGGAAGCTTCTAGTCCGTCGGTCGTAAATTCTAAATACTGGAGTAGTTGCTTAAAATTCGGGGCAGCCTCAGTGGACCCTGCAGGGCGGTGATAGATTGGTTACTTGCTGAGCTGAAAAAACCAAACCAACATGACAGGTTGTGGGCACTTTTCTAAGCCGTCGTTGTCCCTGGGGTCTGGGGAGGGACAATTGCGGCGTGACCCTTTCCTTCCTTCCTGCAGAAGTACGAATCATTCCTGAAGAATGGGCAAATGGGGAATTTACACATATACCAATCAGTCAAAGTCAAAGAAAAGTGTACCAAGAAAATGGATGGAATTAGGATGCAGCTAATCTTCTGATTTGAGAAAATGATAGAGGGGCTGCTGCTTCTGGGAAAGTACACTGTCCCTACTGTATACTGGCTGCTGGGCGATCTACTCATTTGATAACCTCGTTCAACTACCGGAATCTTTTTTCTAAATCGCCAACCTCGTTTAACTACCCGAATCTTTTTTCTAAATCAGAATGGATGTAATAAAGGCCGCAAACTTATTAGACTAGTCTTGGCTATTAATTTTTTTTCTTCAAATTTCTCGTTATTTTATCTCCTCATCTTTATATCTCTGTTTGGATTTGACTATTTTTTAAAAATAAGTTTTTCAACTCCTATGTTACATTTGCACATAAACAAAATAAATTAAAAATACATAATCCATACAATATTTCAAATACAATATATTATAAGTCCGTTTGGATTGACCATTTTTTTGAAAAACAAGTTTTTCAAATACAATGTTACAGTAATATACAAATAAAAATAATTCAAAAAACATCTCATTCATGCAATATATTAAATATTTCAAAAAATATTTATAGTAAAAGTTTTTTATATTCATTGCAATAGTAAAATTTTTTAAAAACACTCCCAAAAATACTTAATACAAACGAAGTAAAACCAACCATTTCTATCTCCTTCCCTCTCCACCATATACCACACCCACCACCAGTCCCCTCCTCTACCACTACCGCCACTTCTTCCTCTCTCCATCTGTTCTCCTCTCTCCTGTCTCTCCTTTTTTCTCCCTTTCTCTCCTAATTTGTGATTTGATTATGATCGAAGAAGGTAGGAAAGAGAAAAGGGTCAAGCAGGGAGGAGGGGAGAGAAAAGAGGAGGGAAGAAGAGGAAGAAGGGGAAAAGAGGAAAAGAAAATAGAAGGAAAGAAGAATGAGGGAAGGAATGGGAAAGGGATGAGAAAAGGAGGAGAAAACAGTGATGACGGTGGAAGGGGTGGTAGGTGATAGTGATAGGTGGTTTTTTTATTTTCAAAAAATGCTAGTAAAATTTCAATTTTAAAATCACCCCAATAAACAACTATAATAAAACTTAATCCATACGAAGTCTTAGGTATTTTCACCCCAATTTTTAGACGCTTTAATGGGTCTTTAAAATTCTATATAATATAAAATAGGAAAAATCGTTCAAAACATCACTTACATTTTGTTTACTTTTAAAATGATAATTTTATGTCCCTTACAAAATTAAATCAGTAAAATTTAGTCCAAAGCTAGATTTTTAACCACTTTTTACATTGAATCCAACACATGATCCACACATGATTATTTTTTTAGGGGCAAAAAGGATAGATCTCAGTTATAATTAAACAAATGACCCAATTTATATTCATTTTTCCCCTAAAAAGTGATATCTAACCCAAACTATATTCACTTTTTTTCCTAAAAAGGTGAAATTTGATTCAATCCATATTCATTTTTGCTATTAAAAAGTAAGATTTGACCTTTTGTGTATAAAAAAATGACTGCATGTGGATTACGTAGTGATTTCAACTTTCAAGCCAAAAAAGTGGTCAAACATTTAGGTTCGGATCAAATTTTATTAACTTGAATTTATAAAGGCATCAAATTAACATTTTAAAAGTAAAGGATGAAAAAATATATTTGATGGAATGTGAGAAACGTTTTAAATAATTTTTCCTATAAAATAACATTAAAAAAAGTTTAATATATATTCTAACTCCCAAAGTTATGCTACTAGAATCTGCCTTTTTTTTTTACACAAAAATTTTACGATTTTAACAAATATTTCATTTACATATTTTTTTAGTCATCTTTTTTAACATATATATATTACATCCTAAAAAGTGTACATATACATCACATCCTAATAAGTGTTACAGTAATTTTTTTTAAAAAAAACTATGAGAAAAATTATAACCCAAGCAACCTTGATGTTTCAGAAACTCTCAAGCATGCGCCATTGATTATTCTTCACTAGAGAAACATCTGTGCATCTTTTTTCCTATATACGCAATCTACTAACTACAACCAAATTTACCTAAACAGAATGAATGCAAGTTTTTTCCCTAGAGAAAGAAATGAGAATTCCTTCAAGTTTAATCCTGTTCTTAATCTAGACAGCACTTAACCATGCATTCACAAAAAGAAAGGCAACCAATAACAAGAATAAATATATAATTAAATTGTCATTTCGTTCTCTGTTCATTACATTGACATCTTTGAATCACCTCTTGCTCCTGTTCAAAACAAACAATAATAAAACCCTATATCTTGATTTTTTATTTTTATTTTTTTGTCATCACAGGGAGTATCCCTTGCGAACTAATTTCTCTGTGTCTGTGCATCTGCCCCAAGATACACAAAACGGTAGAAGGAATCGAACCGCGATCACACGGTGTCAGGGCCTAATGAGCCCAGCCCAGCCCAGCCAGCCCGACCCGACCCGAGTGGCTAAACCCTGTATCTTGATCGAGTGAAGAATAATTGAATGGAATCTTTTGCTAGTATCTCTGAGCAAAGGACAAAAAATGAATAAGATTGCTGAAATCAGCAAGTTGGAAGTCTCATCCTGATTGAGTGAAGGATACTTGAATGGAATCTTTCAGTATCTGTGAGCAGAGGACGAAAGTGAATGAGAACGACAATAAAGTCATTGATGACGATTCACATGAGTGGAACATGCGTTTCCTTTCACAAACACGTAAGCAGGACTATGACCGCTCCATTTCTTGCTCGAAACATTTTCAGACAACCATTCTGCTACGCCACAGACTTCCCATCTCAATAATTCAAAGTTCCTGTGCATTTTCTTGCGTAGCCAACTGGCCATCAACTTGCAGAAAAAGCTTCAATTATTATTGGAAGAAACACATCGCCTCAGTTTTCAATCAATTGCAGCTGCTTCAGATATCCATCCAGCACTGAATCGTGATGCAGCAGCTTTCCTGATAAATACGAATGGTTGGAAAATCATCATTTTCTTTCGCTTCATTAGTGGCGTTAGGTGTTCGTGAGTTTGATATTTGTCACGCATAAGAGTTCAAATCAAAATTTTTGAGTGAATATTGGGTTCTGATTTATGTGATCAAGGCCTAATTTGGAGGAAGAGATTTTTGCCCCTAATATTTGCCAATTTATTTGACTCAAAATATTTTCTCCCTTGTCGTTGCCATTTTGTCTGACGCCAACAATCTACATTTTGTTGCCGTAAATGTTACTTTGGTGAGTTTTTTCTTTTTTTCTTATCGCGTCCAACTGTGAAATTGCAAATATGTGCTTCATATTCTTTGAATCCAATTCTTGTTTAGAGTAGAGGAATTTTTTTTTTTAATCATCACAGGAAGTATCTCGTTCGGACTAATCTCTCTGTGCATGTGCATTCGTTCCCCAAAATACACAAGACGGTAGAAAAAGTCGAATCCTGATCACATGGTACCGAGACCTAACGAGGCAATCCCAACACCAGGGCGGGCGGGCGGGCGGGCAGGAGGGATTTAGAAAGTTGCTTCTTACACGAAAAAAAATGGTAATTGAAGAGTGATGGCTGATGATAAAGATTCTTGAATCTCGTTTCCATCCTGCTTCTCGTTGTCATCGTATTGGTACCCAAAGTCCAACTTTGGTCCCTACAAGTGGAATGAATCTTGTTTTTCACATCATGCTGCTGTGTAAATTATTTTTACTTTTTCTTGGGCTAAAGCAATAGTTTTTATTTTTCGTTCTATTATTGGTGGCAGTAAAAATGCAAATTGTTCATTTGTGGGGGATCCACGGGATCCAGGAAAGATACGAAGAACTGGTGTCACGGCCTCACGGGGGGGTTCGTTAGAAAATCTGAAGGCGGCGGCCAAAGGGCCCAAGAATATTAGTGACTGCTGTCGTCAAAGGCACTGCAGGAAAAGCTGTTATGTTTCTCAATCAAAGATCATACAGTTGTGTTTGTTTGTTTGTCCATCATTTATTTCCCAGATGCCGTCTCCCATCGTACTTCCCTCTCTCATTAGTTGGCGGACGAAGGAAATTTGTTTTGATTTGGTTACCTCTTTCTACCTTTTTTTTTTTTTTTTTAAGTTTAAGGGTGATTTCAAATCTGACAAAAAGAAACAGAGAAAAGGAAAAGTTGAAAGTGGAATCATAAAACTCAAAGTAACTTAAAGTTGAATGTTCCTTAATCTTGGGAACACCCGTCTTTTCTATTTTATAATCCAATTTAACAGTTAATGCTAATAAGTTCAGACTTTAATATCCTCAAACGAACGTGTTTGATAAATAAAAATTAAATATTTTTATTTTAATCTTAATTTCACGTATTAGACTGTATGATAAAATTATATTTAGTGTTTATATTCAAATAATAAATTTTACACCATAAAACCAGAAACCTCAAATGATGCTGGGACTTGGGTCACTCATGGGATAACTCTTAAGGAATCCAGGATGACACAGATTAAATCTTATCCCTGTGAGCTATGAATGCCAATCTTATCCCTATGAGCTATGAATGCCAATTTTGAGTCCAACTATTATGGTGCGACATAGACTCCTCGTCTCAATAATTCAAAGTTCCGATATTTTTTTTTAGTAGTCATATCAATAATTCAAAGTCGATATTTTCTCGAGTAGCCATCAGCTAGCTAGCTGAAACCATTACTCCTGAACACGTTGCCTGAGTCCAAGCAATTGCAATTTCATATGGTCAAGCATTGAATGGCGAGGTAGCAGCTTTCGTCCTAAATGCAAATGCTTGAATTTCATTTTCTTCCACCTTATACATGGTGATTCACAAATAGGATACTTGTCCTACATCAGTTTGAAGGAGAAGAAATAGTGCTTAATGCATAGAAATGGGATGAGTTTTTGAGCCAATGTTAATTTACAATTTATATGTTGAGCCTCTTTAGTAGGTGAGATTCTTTTTTAATAGCTGCCATTTTATTGTGCCAAAAAATGACCATTTTAGTCTCTTATCGTCAAAATTTTGATCAATTTAGTTTCAAATCTATCACCGCGACCATTTTAATCCATTGTCTTTACTATAACAAATCAATCTAGGCAGCCTTGTTTGGATTGCCGTTTTCTGCCGGAAAATTACGTCGTTTTCCGTGATCACATTTCCCTATTACCTTTTTTCCTCACATACATCAAATCGCTACAGTAAATTTTCAACAAAAAATGATGGAAAATGCAATCCAAACACAATATAAATTTCTAATGGAATTAGTCCTATGCACAATATGTGCACCATTGAAAATTTCATAGGTAGACTTATGGTGCATGGAACTGGTTACATTAGGGTTTTCTAATTTCTCATTAGAAGTCCTAGATTTACTTTGTTTTGTGAGGATAAAGTTTAAATTGCTGTGCAAATATACAATTGGGCACAGCTTTGACGATAATGGATCATTTTTAATGGTGCACATACATTCCATGTGACTAAGTCCATTAGAAATTTTTAATTTTCTGTTTAAGATCATAGATTGACTCTTTTGTTAAAAGTTAAGGGATTAGAATAGTCGTAATGATAAATAAGAAATTAAATTGGCTAAGACCCTATCGTAAATGTTATTATTATACTTCGTAGTCTTTTTGTCGCCATTGTATTTGTGACCCAAAATCCTGGAAAGCTTTTTCTTACACGACAAATTGTACTAAATACTTAGCGTCGTGATGATAAGGATGCCTGAATCCCATCTAATGACGTTTGCATCCACTTTCTTCTTGTCAACTTGTCATTTATACGCAAAGTCCACCGTCGGTTGCCACAAGGGGAATCTTGTTTCTTACGTTACGTCATGCTAGTATAAGTATTTGAGTCACAAGAAACTAAAATGGAATTGTAACTTTTTCTTGGGCTAAAGAAAAGGTTTATTTATTTTGCATATATTTTAATCGGATTTCTTGTTCCCGACCAACATAAAAACATTAAACAAGCAAATGGTGCATTTCTGGGGCGATTTTTGGATAGCTCATCTCTTCCTTCTGCGTATGTTTATTTCGTTTATTTATTTTCCGGTTGGATCTACCTCCGTCCCTCATTGCAAGCCTTTTTAGTCATAGCGATAAAAATACACCCATACTTCAGCCATTGGCATGGAAGGATACGTGTTTTTTTTTTTTTTTTTTTTTGTCTTATCTCTTTCTACTATTTTTTTTTTTGAGTTCAAAAAAAGACTTTAAACTTTTTTTCTCGTATGCGAGGGGTGGAATTTAAGAAATAGAGAAGGAAAAAAAATTTTAATTCAGAATCTCTACGTTTTAGAATCTCAACTTTAATGGCTAAATTAGTGCTACTTTTACAACAATTTCAAACTTTACAAAAGAGACAGAAAGAAAAAAGGGAAAAATTTGAGAGCCAAACGAAGAAACTCACACTAACTTGACTAATGTTCCTTGGATGATGATCTTTCTACTAAACTAACCACCTGCATTTGCACGAATTACACTATAAAACAAGTAAGCTCAAGACGTTGCTGGGATTCGTGACTTGAGCGTTGGGGTGACCTAAGCAGTCTAAATCACATCATTTATAAAAAGCGAGTTTAGATTACGACATTCTTAAACGACAAATACAAACATAAAAATTCCTAAGATTAAAGAGGTGTATTACGCATCAGTTTATTTCTGTCGTTTAAATCGTGTGTTGTTTAGTATGGGATTTTCCTATATTTTATTCCTGGGAACTCTCAGTATCATCTATGAATTGTATTCAACTTTGAAGTGACAATTTGCTTGAAGGAAAAACGGGTTCATTTCATTTTGTATCCTTTAACTATATTCAAATTCTCAATTTGGTTTCTAAACTTTAAAATAGGACACTTTGGTCCCTATATTATAAAATTTGTTGTACTTTAATTCTTAAAATATAGTACTTGTCCATTTTAGTCCTTAAAGTATAAAATTTACCCCAATTTAGTCCCTAACGTATATCCGTTTAAGCATAAAATCTATCTCACTTCCTTCATGATTTTACTTAAGTGAACCAAATTTTACAGTTTAAGGATTAAAGCGTACTGTTTTAAAGTTTAGGGACCAAAATGAAATTTTGGATATGGTTGAAGAGTGCAAAATGGAATTAACCCCGGAAAAATCGGAAAATAATGACACAAAAAGTGTCAAAATTAACGCAACAGTGATAAGCCCAATAGTCTTTTTGTGTTTCCATTCTGGAGTCTCTCCATTGTAGGGGTAAAAGGAGCCCACGGATTTCGGGCCATCACATTTTTGTTTTCCCTTATCTATGAAAATTTTGTTGAGCCCAAAATATCCAAAACCCACCGATTGGCGGTTTCCTCTTTCCAACCAAAATCCACAGCGTCGAAAGGGAAATTAACACAAAACCTTCCAAACTACGGGTAGCGAAACAAGCGTCCTTCGACTGTTCTTCAGAACCCCTCATCAGGTTGTCCGATTCTCCCTTGCTTCGTTTGATTATTTAATTTATCTTATTATTTTCGGTATGCATATATCTTTCTATACTTGTCGATTTGGTTTCTTGCTTTTGAGCGCTTTTTTTTTTGGGGACACTTGTACTACACTTGATTCTTGATATTATTGTTCATTTCCCCTTACCGTCTTATTTACTTAATTTAGTGGCTGAAAAGTCTGAAGGAAGATGATGCTAATAAATGAACCCTTTTGTCCTTTTGTCTTTTTATTCCTGGAAAATCACTAGCTTTGTAGAATTTGTGAGGAGACAAAGAAAGGATTGGAATTTTGAACAAGGTCGGGTGTTGTTTTTGATAGCGTGGGTAGTTTTGGGTTAGGCGTTGGAATAGTCAATCTAGACTTGTTCCTTCTTTTCTTTAAGAGAATGGGAGAAAGCTCCTTTACATGAATGTGAACATGCATAAATGGTTGTAGCTTGATTCTGAGAAGGATGAGGAATTAGCAACTTTTTCCTGAGGACTCCATTGGCTAATGGCCCTTGATTGCAAAGGGGCAAGCTCGAATTTGCTACTTTTTTCCGTATGTATCTAATTAAAAAAAATAAGGAAAGAAAACTTTGACCTGGGAGTGATTAATCAAAATTTTTCTAGGATTGATTTTTTTTTTATTTTAAAATTTTTTGGGGTTATGAATTAAATATTATGCATTAATATTACTGTGTATTATTAAGTAATCGTGTTTGTGATGGTTGCAGAAGTTTATGTCTTGTCTTATGATTGAATCTGGAAGTGACTTTTTGTTTGGACACATTGCAGATTAGTTTGTGGCATGGAGAGAGGAGACACAATGTACTTGAAACCATTTTTGAAGATGAGAATCTCGAAGATGTTGAGATGCTTGATGTAGAAGAGGGAGAGTTGGTTGAGGTTAGTACAGAGGCTGAACATGGAGAGAGCAATGCTGGCATAGAAGTTAAGGTTGGAAATTCTGAAGGCTGCACCAATAATCCAGGAGAAAAGAAGAATAAGAAGAAGAAGAAGAAGAGCAAGAGAAAGAGAGGCAGTTCAGGTCCTAATGTGACAAATATCAACAGGTGCTTTCCTGCTCTAAGGATTTTTACTACAGCTTCAACTCTTGGAATGTTTTTGTTCTATTATTCAATAATGAAATGATCTCTTAATATTAGTATCTTTCAAGGATTATGTCATTGGTAACCAGTTACTTTGCTGTCATATGCAGATTTGTACTGGATGTCTGTAGGCGCTTGAAAGAGAGGAAGTCTTATTTGGTTTGGGCTGCTGTGGGTTGCCTTGGTGTCTCTGCTTTGGGTGATCTTGTAACAGAGGTAAAATTCCTGTTTTCCTTCTTTGTTGGGTGGTATTTATTTCAAACGTCTAGCCTTTTCTTGTATGGGATTTTAAACTTTATTTCAAATGAAGGCATTGTACATACTGCAACTTTGCCCTTTGTTTCTCTAGTGCATGGTGTTCATGAATAAGTAGTTAACAGCATCAAAATGACTTCTTTTTTATATCAATTTTTCTGAAGTACTCTCAAATTAGTTGTTGGGAATTAATTTGATTGTCTCATTTTATACACAAATGGAGGATTATTTTTCTTTATTCATGCAATCACCAACAAACATTAAGTTTTGAAAGATGGGGATAACAATGGTCTTGTATGGTAGATAAGGAGGTCACTGCCATTGGTCTTTGTTTCCTGGTATTTTCAAAAGTATTATACAAGTTTTTTGTTCTAGTCGAGAATGGCTACATTTGAATTGAGGGTACATAATTTTGGCTTCTGGGCATCAGCAAGATTATACTTGCTATCTTGGAAATCACATATATTATTTCATGGCTTGTATAGTTGTATGGTGTGAAATTTGGTTTGCGCTTCTGTTTCTTGCAGAATTTTTCCATGGACCTTCATAAACACATTGTGCTTGTGCTCCTTGTGGTTCTTTGTTTTTTGACTTTAATTTTATTAAATTGCTTATATTTATATTGTTAGTTCTTCCCTCCCTTGGTAAATTTCCTGTAGGCCTGTCATGAAACTGATGCATCTTTAACATTCTAATATTATATTTAGTAAAAGGGAACATCTCCCCATCTCTCTTCATACTGTTTGCAACTTCCAAGATGCTCCCAAATCTACTCCTATAAGCATAACTAGAGACAGCAGCTTCTGATAAACCTTCTGGATTCTATCTAGGCGCAATTATGGTAGTTATGTAATGACAATATGTTAGCATTATCTTACACAGGTTGTAATTGGGAATATTAGAGATCATTCATAGACCTTTTTTCTGGTAAATAGAGAAATAAATCACTAATTGTTACAACCAAAGTGAGAGATTATGGTCCAAAAGGTTGCTCAATTTGTATCAAGATCTTCTGCCTTTATTGAGTTTCTGATGCCTATAGTTTCCTATCCTTTTGCAGATGCATCTTGAAGAAGCATTGTCACTGGTGACAGTGTTGTGGCCCTTCTTATCTGAAATAGCTTCAGACTGAACCATTGACCTTTCATATTGGCTTAGGCAGACTAAAATGGTATGATACAGAAATATCCACTTGTATACAACACTTATCGTAACACCCGTCTCAGACAATTAGATAGAAAGAAAGAAGCAGAATAAAGCGCAGGGGCAAGGGAAGAGACTAAAATTTTGTAGTGAATAAAGTCAAATTCTCCTTTTCCTCTACTGAAATATTGAGTCTTGAAATATTTTTCGATTTAGTTTTATTGTTGTTCACATCAGAGTGAATGAGAGTATAATTTCAGCTTCGTAGGTGGACAATAGTTTTGATTGCAATGAAAAGCACTGACATCATATTTGCAGTAGGAAGGAGTTGTGGTATTTTGTGATGGAACAATTATATGGACAGAAAAATAATTGATAAAGAAGTGAGCTAAACAAAGTTCTTGTGTTATTCTTCACTCTGATGACCAGTTAATATATTGATGTCAACATTTTCGCTTCTCCATTTTATAAGTTGGAGTTAAGGAAGGAGTTTTATTTTGCATTAAGTGTTGAGCTTGTTAGTTGTTATTAATTATTGATGTTAAAACGTGATTCTGAATATCATGATAAAATTTTATGATTGAATTTCTATTTGTAGAATTTCTTGGATCTGAGCATGCATATTTATGGTTAAGATTGTTTTGCCTTCAATGTCTTCTTGCTTTATTAACTTCAATACTAATTTACGCATTACATTGTAGGTGGAAGCAATTCAGGCCTGTGGAGGTCAGAAAACTGCAGATGGTAGACGTTTCCGAACAGGTGGTGGCATATTGTGGAGTGTCCTTAAAGTCCGTGATCCAAATGCTTACAAAGAGATTATGAGAAGAGGAAAGGAATTTGAGGTATACTATCATTTTGTCTTTGTATTTGAGCTAAGAAATTTCTTATGCGCGCTTCACATACTGCTTTTTCTGTCTTTCCTGGTTAAATATAAGATTGTAAAAGTTTAGTACATAAAGCATACTTATTCATGCATGATGCACTTTTTTGGCTATTAGTTTTCATGTTTCATGGGTAACTGCAGCTGGTTCCTTAGTAGGATAAGATGATCAATATGGTAGCTTGCTCACTCGGGTTTTTGAACTAGAAATGTGGAACACTAAGAGCAACAAGGGGGAGAGTGAAAATTGATTTCTAGCTTAAGTGTAAGGTCGTGTCCACCTTTAGTCCATTTTATGGAATTAGTTTTATGCTTCTCCCACTAGGTATGGAGCTAAGCATCATCTAAGCTGGATAATCTCATTTGTGGTGTGCACTAAATCTATTTATAAAGCCAATTTACCAAGATGCCATGGTCCTGTTAGTGCCCACCTTTTTTCGGGTAGGATGCATCACCCAACGAATTCGCTATTGTAGGTTAAAGGTTCAATTGGAAACATAGTACGTAAATCTTATGCAGTTGCTTGTTTGAGTCCATTGCCTTTCATAAGGCTTATTCTTTGGTTTCCTTAAATGCCTTGATAGTGTTGCTGGATGAAGTTTTTTTGTAATAGAGAAGTTATATGTTGAACTCAAGTATTTCAGATAAACAATTGCTTTTCACTTTCATTTATTCCTGATACCAGTTATATGAAAATTATGCAGAAGCAATTTAAGCCACAAAATGTCAACCTAGATACCATGCACAACAAAGAAAACCCTTCCCAAACTACTGGAGAAGTTGTGGATGGCCTTCAAGAGGCATCTCATCAGGAGAACCAGCTCAAACAAAATACTAGCGAGCGGAATCGAGTATCTGTGCATGAGCGTGTTAGGATACCAGTTGCATATGATGATTTGCTTGACGGAGAGAATCCTGGAGATGGAGGAGCATCTGTAGCTTAAATTGCATGTTGTTAATGCTTGAACGACCTCATTCTATTATATGAGAGAATTTTTCCATTTCTGTGTTTTTTTTTCTGTGGCATTTTGCGACGCCTTGCAGTAAATCTTGGGACGAGAAACTACACATTTTTGAAGTAGGCGAGAGAATTCTGTATATAATTCGGAAAGTAAATTTGAAGTTAAAAGCTTACAGGATGTCTTGAAGGGTTAGCTTTCCGAACGTATAATCTGAATTTTTGTTGGATGAATGCTCTTTCTTTTATTTTGTTATTCGTGATTGTCTGACGACATTTTCACGCATGCCTTGGAAGCCCAATAAAGTTCCTCCCACCATACTGAACTAGTCCTCTGCTTCTGAGCCTCTTCTGCTCTCATCAATAATCATTATAACCCTTCTCTATTTTTGGTTCTCAAGACTGGAGGAGCGAAGGAGACAAATGGTGTGGGAAAGAAAATGAAAAAATAATAAGAGGGGGATGGGGCGGTTGTTGATAACAAAAAAGCAAAAAAAAAAAAATTGAGACACTAAAAATAAATTCAGGAATCATCTGTGTACGTGGTGGAAAGATCCATCAGGGTGATAATTGAACTACCTTGCGGATCAGAATGTGACTTGCACTTGTATCGTGTTCAATTAGGAGTTTGCTAGATGGATTAATAAGCAAGAGTATATTAGGCATTACTGCAAAACAGGGTAAGATTTGTTGAACCATCTCACGGTCCAAGTTTTGTGTTATCGAAACACTTCTTCTATCTAGCACAAGTGCTCCTCCTCCTGTTCTTGTTCTCTGAAACTGCAATTCTTGGACTCGTGTGCTGAAGACGAATGTACAGGCAGTTGCTTGTACATTCCACTTGATCATATCCAAGAATAACAGTAACATGCAAAGTTTCTTACAACGCCTATACTGCCTTCATCCAGCACATTAGTCTCAGAGCCTGAGACAAGGTCTCTCGCAGAGCATTTGCAGGTCTGCAGCCCGAGGATTTAGGTTAGAGTACATGGTTGACTCTTTTGCAAGAAGAGGCAGAGGACAGTGCAGTCATCTCTCTTTGAATTAGGAAACTTTTGTTTCCACGCTGCTATTGATGCATCGACCACTGCTTTTGCTGCTGCTTCTTCACTAGCCGCTGAAGAAACTAAGGATGTTACTTGATCATTGGAAAGTACATCCCAAACCTGAAACCAAATATGCAATGACAGATTAAAATCCAAATCGTCTTATGATTTAAGCAGATACATAGCAATTTTTTTGGCCATGGCCATACCCCATCTGTCGCCAGAACAAGAAACTGATCTTTCTGAGACAACTGGTGATAAGAGACCTCAGGGATGGCAATGATGCCATGGTTTTTAAGCGCGAAGTCTCCAAAAGCTCGTGACATGGCTAGGCCGGGAGAATCATCCAGTGGTAGCCACACTCGCTGAACATGTGGTTCTTCCTTCAATGCAAGCACTCGACCGTTGCACTTCCTTATTCGATCTGCTTCCCCTGCATCAAGATGAAATTAAAGCACACACTTCTGTGTATAGTTTAAGGTAAAATGACCTCTTGTTCAACGTGAATACTGCACGCTCAAGCTGTGATTATGTCCATGTGGACATAAAAAGAGGTCTTACCAGGTAAACCAGGCTTGAGATCTGTAGTTAATTGAACTGGAACAATTCCATTCTCTGATTTTGTTCCCACAATTGCTCTTGAATCACCAAGATTCCCAACAATAAGATAATCGCCCTGTAAAAATCTTTACCAAGTCAAAACTCCAGAGACTTGCAAACACAAATTACATATTCGATGTTCTATTCCTTCATGCTTTTTTAGCCTCATACCTGCCTTACAACAACAACAGCAGTAGTTCCACTGCAAGAGCAATCCACGTTCTCAAGAAGCTTGATTTCCTTGTCCATCACCTTGAAGGCACTCAGAAAAGCGTCTTTCCATTTATTAAACCTTTTGCTGAATTGTACTTCACCGTTCACTTTCTCATTATATTTTGGAGGACTGATGACCTTTGCCATTGCATTCATCTGGTTCAGAAGCAACGATGGCAACCGGTTCCTCACCATCTTGCTGACCTTATGACCATAATATCCATGTCCATCAAAGACTCCACAGAAAGCTCCATCTTCCATTCCATAGCCCTGTCAAAATAGGTCCCGTTCCTTGGTACCATTACCTAACAAAAAACACATGCAGAGCATACAGTAACAATAATGACCATCTTGATTCTTACCTGATAGAGAATTGCAGCATCTTGGTTTAGACCTTTGCTTCCTTGATGAGAATGAATGGAGCCAACTCTCACCTGGGATTCATCTGAATAATTAGTATCTTCATGGTAGACCACATTTTCTTGAGCACTTTCAGCATTCAGAATCTCTGAAGATGCTGTGGAGATGCAAGAACCCATGTCGAGTCAAGTCAACTGCTGGTGTATTTCTTATGGTGCATATGCTTTTGGAATCCAGGAACTGGTAATATAGTCTGTTTATATATGCGGTTTGGGAACCTTTGAAGTCTACATTCGCTTAATCTATATTACTTGTGAGACTATGGGTGGCTCCTAGCACGCTTGGAAACGCACTAAGGTTCAATTATCCATGGTTTTTTTTTTTTATTCTGTTTTGAGTGTTATCAAGACTACCCCAAGATTCAATTGAGGGGCCTCTGAGGTGTACCCGTGTAGGATTAAGCCGCTCAAATATTATAATTAAGTCATTGGCTGGTTTTTCCTCTACTTCTTTCCAATAAAAAAGGTGCTGGATCAGAGGTCCTATTGTTGATAAGCAACCAAGAAAGTCCTCCACTTACTATAAATTTGCTTCATTTGACATAACAGTTATCACCATCTATTGATTGCAAGTATAACCAACTAAATTTTCAAAAGGAAATCTCTTTCTTCCTGTAAGGATATGTGAATAGCTTAACTTGTTGGGAATAGTCTAATGAATGGGAAGGGCAATCAGAGTGAAAAGTCTTAAATGTCAGTTCTTTATAATTTTCTTAAAAAAAGAAAACATTCAACTTCTAATTAAGTTCCGTATTTAAAATAGTTCCCGACAAATATAACAAGGGTTTGTATGAGCGCTCGTTAGAAAAATCATACAATAATCATATAGAATGTTCGTAAGAGTTCTATTATTTTTCATCCGGTTGCTACTATGTTTCCTTTTCTCGCAAACAGAAATTTAGTACATTTTCCTTTTCCTTTGTTGGGATGGAATGAGTGAATGACAACTCAACTTGGGTAGGTTTTTGTCATTTTAAAGCCGTGGCTGATCTAATTAGCACTTTGTCATACAGTCCTATTAGATGGTTGACCTTGGCCAACTTGATGCACTTTACAGGGTGAAAGATTCAATTAGATGGCAAAGCCACAAGGTAAGAACCCCCTTTACTTAGTAGGTTGAAGAAGTGCAAGGAGAAAGTCGAATCAGTGGGTCAACCATTTGGGAGACACTAGGCTCTTCACACATGACATCAATCACCATGATTATATGAATCATTAAGTTAATGACAAGATAGCTGTTAAATCAATGGTCTCTTGATTTGGATTTTACTTGAAAAGCTTTAATAATACGTGGTTTCACATCGTTGAAGGTGCCAAATGACCTGGAAGAAAGCAGATGTGGAAGGACACGACTTTCTTGAATCTCAAAGACCCTACATGATGCAGATCAATAACTGCCACACTTTAGATTTCCAAACTCCATCTACTTATTGTGTGGTGTCAATAATAGCAATCTAAACAGTGTTTTGGTCTTGAACTCCAAGCACGGCTTTGTAAATTTCCAAGCCATTGTATAAATTTGACATATTCCTTTACAAAACAAGATATAAAAGACTAGTCTTTCACACGCAAGTTCTTTCTTTCTTTTTCTGAAAAAATGTGAGATCTTGATTCAAACCTCCTCCCCTGCAGACAAACGCAAGTTTGGCTAACGGGTTTAAGATTCTCATTTTTGGTAAATCTCTCGTTCGAAAAATACAAGAATGGTCAGTTTCTTATGAAACGTGATGTATTAGCTGTTTTTTGAGGTGTGATCAGCAAGTTCTCTTTTAGATTCTCGTAGGACATGTGACCAGCAAGTCTTGATCTCCCAAGTGTCTCAAAACACTCCAGCAGGAAATGTGAATGTACAAAATCTTGATCAAAACCTTAAACTATAATCTTCAAACAATTTTCAATAGTTGCTTGTTTAGATCATTGCAGGCTTATCTGGCTGGCTGGCTGGCCAGTGGATGGTTGTGGCTTGAGGGAGAGTCTTTTGCTTTTGTCAAAGTTTAAGTAAGATTAGGACGAACTCTAACATATAATAAAAAAGCAATCAGCCTTAAAAGTCAATTGATTCCTCAAACAAACAGAAAACTTAACTTGACAAGTAAGGACAATGGTGCTAAAAATATTGATACCCAATTCAGTTGAGGTCACAAGGCGCATTCTTCAATGTATACCAACCTAATCCAGAGTATCTGCAACCATCCAAGAATTCTAAAGCTCTTAATCAGAAAATTGGGAAACGGATAGAGTTGGAAGTTCTCAAACTAAAAAAAAAAAAAAACAAAAAAAAGATAATTCCTGATAGAGGGAGTATGAAATAGCTATCAATTGAAGTTTGAATTAGTAGTTCCGAATTATTGATTGTAGAATTTTCTACTATTAGGCAATGAATCTGACCCATAGAACAAGATCAATGTCTCAGGAAAAAAGAACTCTCCAACATAAACGACTAAGGCATGTGGGCGACGCTTGCCACTGAACGTTGATATTACCATCTGATGAGAAGAATAATTTATGGATGGCCAGCTGTGTTCCAAACCCAGGCACAAAATTAGCCAAAAACAATAAGAATGTTTTGGATGAGATAGTTCTAGTTCTCTGTCTCATTTTCTGAATTATTGTTTGTTTTGAAGGAATAGGAGGGAAAGGAGAGCAAAAAAGAAATTATTGTATCAGAATAATTTGGTTCTTCCAGTTATACTTGTCACATGGAATGATCAAACTGCAATTATTTGTGCAGAATGGTTCCCTTGGAATTGTATCGAAATAATCTTGGACAGCAGCTATGCTTGAAATCCAGTCAGATGGGATGATCATGACCCTTTCGCTCACAAAGCAACAAATGTATACAGGAAAAGGGCCACAATGCATACTTATTAACAAGCTCGTCCCTCATAGATATGGTAATCCAAACTACAATAACTTCATTGCCATAATAATAGATCAAGTCTAGAATTTGAAATATGGAAAATGAGGAAACTTTACATGCTTTGCATTACAAGACGTGTGTATTATACCACATACGGGGAAAAAAAAAGTTCAATGAACAAATGTTAGAGATACATAGAATTACAGATCATGCTAAGCCAATTCAAGGATGCCTAAAAGCAGGTATGGCACCCATGCACATATTTCGCTTTTTTTTATCTTTTTCTGTTATTGACTGGACACAGGAGCACTTTCATCAACAGATGCCGACTCAGTCGTAGGTGACTTCTTTGTGAGAGACTTAGGCACATCAACATCATCTTGCACACACGCTGCTGAGGGTGAGATAACAGTATACACATGTGGCGCAACAGGATGCGAGTTAGCCCCTGGCCACTCTCATAAATGTACCCCTCATATTCAGTGACAAGCTCAAGGGCTTCAACAAGAGAATCATACACCTTCTGAGGACAATTATCAGGTCCAGGCTTGTCATGCAGGTAGATCACATCCAAGGTGAAGACTTTCTGAGTGGCTAGCCACTGATGTTGTGGTGGTACCGAAGATCTACAGTACATTAGAATCTACAATTTGTAGAAAGCACCATGATAAGATCTTGTGAGAATCGAGCCAGTTCAAAGAATAGGACAATCAACATAGTCAAGGAAAATCATGGCAGCATGGCCCTAAATTAAGTTGAAAAAATAGCCTCAAATTGTTTACGAGAAGCAGGGGAACCAAAGGTTCTTGAAATTCAGATCTGAGGACTACACAGACAAAGGTTTTAAATTTCAGCAAAATCATTTGAAATGCTTTCTGAAGCAAACCAAACCTTCACCAGCTTCCACAGGAAAAAAAAGAAGTTAATCATGTCTTTTTGAGTGATTCAAAGATCACAGAAACTTTATCATTCAAAGTCAAAGGTGTCAACAGATAACAATTTAACTTGGATAGTGGATCATCAGTTTCTCCAGGAGAAGCTTAATTGTGTTCAAGCAAATCTTCAGTATGAAGCCTAAAGTAGAAAAGGGTGTCCTGGATCTGGCTCTAACTGAAGTCTGGTCATTAAGTACGCCATTTCAATGAAGCTAGCCAACTCTGGTACCACTGCACTAGGGTACAAGCGAGGACACCTTCAGTTTGATGAGCAAAAGGAATAGGAGTTGGTGGGAATCTCTAATCGAATATTATATTTTTCCAATTATTAACCTACAATGGAGCAAATTACTGTTTCTTTCACATGAGAACAAAAATCATTAACAAGGATATTTCCTTGTAAAACTATATTCATCTTGACTATATAAATGCATGGCATCATAGATCCATAATGAGAAAATGTAGCTACTCAAAGAATGAATCAACTTTATCTACTTGAACAAATCCTATGCTCTATCTAATGCCTGATATCCCAATGGATGACATGCTACTATAGATCCTAGTAAGTGTCTATTTTTTTTTTTAATCTTCTTATCTAGCCTCAGCTTCAACACCATCATAATATATCCTATCTGGTAAATCAGTTGATCCTTGCCAACAACGTAGTCTTTTGCTCAGATTTTCTTGTATGGTGACTTGTTAAACATATTATGAGAATGGTCATTCTTCATTCTAGTACATTTTCTTAGTTTTGCTTTATCACAAAGCCATCTCAACATTTTGGTTTTGGCTACAGTTATTCATGAGCATGTTGTTTTTTAGCTGCATAAGGTCTTTATATAATAGACGGTCTAACAGTTGCTGAAGAATACTTCTTCTATAAATATGAATGCTACCAAAACAGATAACCTCTTTTATCACACTGTGCTTGACCCACAGCTTATTTAGTCCCATGACTTACACCATACGGATCTAGTCGTTGATTGTATATATTGGTAAAAAGGAAAATGCAAACATACAGATACTTAATAGATCCATGACATTTCAGCTTGAAGTAAACAAAAGAACAAATCCAGCTCTTCCAAACCCTCCCTAAACAAAATGTTGCAGATGCAGTTCAAAAGGCTGAAACTTGGCATATTTTATGAACAAAATTCCCCAACAAAATCTGTGAAAAGTCAACAATTATGTGAATTACTAAATTGTAGAAAGAATGCATGATCTAATAGAGTATCACATCAAAATTCTTGACAATATGTGGGCCACCAACACACAGAGAGAAAGAATATTGAATTGTGAATCGCAGCATCACCCCTAACCAGGCTAAAGTTTGGGTAGACAGAAGTATGAGGTGGGGGAGAACATATGACTAAA